GGGACCTACTTAACCCTGGCCTGAACGACCCCACGGACACACGATGTCCTTTCCTTTCAGCTGTCCTGGAAACACTCCCTCGCTCTCCCTCATCCCCTAGTCAACCCTGAGACCAGACCGCGGTCTCATTCCTATGCTGGGTCACTGGACATGGCCTTCCACATCCATTGACCACACATTTTAACTACCTCTGAGTCAATCAAAATCAAAACACTGACATGTATGGTTCTTTTTCCTGATTTTAAAGTAAGTTATGGTAACGATGGCACTTCAGGGACTTACCCTGCACTTGAAAGACATTTATACAGCACCTCACATATCCTAGGTCCTATTCTAAGCACTTTCCAAGGATCAATTCATTTAATCCTCACAACAACTCTGAGGTAGGTACTTATATTATCCCCATTTTACAGATGAGGAAACTGAGGCCAAGAGGCTACGGAACTTGCTCGAGGTCACACAGCCAGGGTGTATGGCAGAGCCAGAATTAGAACCAGGCAGTTTTGCTGAGTCCACGTTAATCTCCTCACTTTGCTTTTCTAAGTACTTTCTCTCAATCATCTCTGCCTGAGCTGTGACAGTGTCAGGGTGGGCTGCAGGAACACTCTGCTTTTGACACTCAGCATGGTTTGGAGATGCTCATTTCATTGTCTGTGCCCAGTTAGACTGTAAACCACTGAGGGCAGGACCTTGTCTCTCTGAATTAACACTGTGCCCTGCACAGGGCCTGGTTCCCCTGTGCTCCTCAACTATCGGGGCAGTGGATGCTGAATGAGGTGAGGCGCCACCATCCCCTTCTTACACTTCAGAAACAGAGGCTCAGAGAGAGGACTTGATCAAGGGCACACAGCTGTGAGTTACAGTCAGCACAAACCCAAGTCTTTCTGCCTTCAGATTCCACACTAAATATAACATCATTTATTCTTTGTAGTGACCGCATTATATTCCTAATATAGAGTTACCATAGTTTATCTGATTGGCATTTGAGTTCTTGACAGTTTTTCACTCTTGCAGATAGCTGCAATAAAATCTTTGTACACTCTGCCCACTTCTACAAGCACTTCCACAGCCCAGATCCCTAGACTAAGATTGTTGGGTCTGCACAGTTTGGATACCAGCAGGTTACTATCTAAACAGCGAGCAAGAATTTACTGGCCCCCTCCTCCCAAGGTATGAGAGTACCTGTTTTCTGTGCTGTGTGTTCAACTTTAAAACTCGGCAGAGACCGTATTAGGGGTTTCTGGAACAATTTCTGAAGGTGATTATACTGCACAGGGTTTCTCGTAACAGAACCTACCTTCTCCTTGATGGCTATCAAAACGTTTTGATTTTGAAGACTTCTTTTAAAGTCTTCTGCAGTGCATCCCTCTGGGAACCAAGTCCATCCACCCATGTCCAGTAAGTCCATATGAACCCGTGCAGTCAGGTCTCAACTACATTGGGCTGTCGATGCAGAGAAAAGCGAGGGTGTGATAAAGTGCACCCAGAGGCCAGCTCCTCCATCACTCACCGGAAACCAGCCGCCACCTCAGCTCTGAGTGGGAGTTTCTTTCCATGTTGTTGCCTAAAAGTCATAACCAGCTTGCGAAGAACTTTTCATCAAGCAGAACAGAGCAGAGCAGAAGGGTTAGTGAGATTATCCAGTCCACTCCCCCACCATCTATCAGATAAGGAAATTGAGACCCAGAGAATTTGAGTGACTAATTCAAGGTCACACACAAAAGCAGGAAAAGTAGTGGCAGAACCCAACTCAAAGCCAGGTATTCTAACCTCTAGCTGAGCGCTCTTTATATTACAGCAGGGCGCATCCATGATCTCCTTGACAGTCCGTTAAATCCGCCTTTCTTCAATCTCTGCTGCTCCTGAAAACGATGGGAAAGTTAGGTTTCTTGAGAAGGAATATCTCAGTAAAAATCATGGTGATGTGCCTTTGTGCATGCTGTTCCCACTTCCTTGGATTCCCTTTTCTGCCTAACTGCTTGAATCCTCCTCATCCTTCAAAACCCAAAAGAACTGCTATGTTCTGTGAAAATATTCCCTATTTCCCCAGGCAGCTGGTGGTCCCCTGCTCCATGTTCCCAGGCCCTGACCTTGGCCCAGTACTCAGAACACTTTATGGTGATGCTGGTTCCTTGTGGGTCTTTGCTACAAGAGTGAAAATTCCTTGAACTCGCAGATATATCAAATTCACCTCCGCAACCCCAGCACACCCTTAAGCCCCAAAGGCATGGACCTCGGACCCAGACTCCATGACAGAGGGAGTTTTCCAGCCTACCCCAGCTCCTGGCTCACAGTATGAACTCAAGCAGGGTTTGCTGCTGCTGACAGAATCTGAACAAGGAGGTTGTGCAGCACCAGGAGATTCTAATCCCGGAGCCATGGAGCTTTCGACAGGCACTGCCGGGAGGTGCCAAGCATGTCAGGCTGACACATGAGTGGGCACTGAAGGCACAAAAAGTCCTCACCTGTGTACAGGCCTCCAGGGCTACAAGGTACTTTCAAAATGACCTCATTTGAGTGAATTTCGTAACTCTCTTCAGTGTTATTTCCACGGGGCTTATCTCTTCTCCTTCTGCCAAGAAAACTGCTCTCAAAGCTGGCTGATCCAGACCTCAGGATTCTAAGACACGGATATGGCACAGGGGGAAGGAGGAAATCAAGCTAAGAAATCTACGACTGAACATATATTCAGTTTACAGGATTTAGGAGAAAAAATAAGAGTGACTACAGCCATGAAGTACCCTCTACACAATGAGTAGCTCAAGAAGGAATTACCCTACTTTCACAAAGTGGGCTGAGCTTCAGTGGTCCTGGACTTTCTTCAGGGCTTTAGAAAGGAACACACGAAATGCTGGAATGTGGGATTTCGATATCTCCAGTTTACTTAATTTGCTTGTTTACAAACACGATCTGTGTGCATACAACAATGGCAAGAGCCATTCTCTAAACACAATCTGGTCCTCAGACGACGACAGATGCACGTGGAAAATGAGGCGTCAGTGAACGAATCTCTCAACCAAGCACCGCAGTATTCTGTGATCACAGACGCCCTCCAAAGCCTCTTGTTCAGCACCTGGGACAACAGACACTTTTCAAAAGACAAAACAAGGCTATTTCCACAGAAGACCCAGACCCCAAATGGCACTCAAAAGAAGACGGATGAGCCAAAAAGTTCTAAAGGCTTAGTCGAGAAAAAGGAGGCGGGGGATGATCCCCTGCTAAGCACACGTGCTGGGTATTTTACATGCATCATTTCCCTTCACCCTGACAGTGTCTCCATTTTATAGATGAGGAAAACGAAGCTTGCCCAGCTTGCCACAGCTCTCAGTCGCGGGGCCAACACTGGAGCCCACAGCTCACGTTTGTCTAAGCCCAAACTCTTTCCGCTCCGCCACGCTGTCTCACACGGGGATAAAGGGCGTGCTCTCAAGAAAAAGGCGAGGGTGCTAAGACTGAACAGGAAGTGGTGGCAGACTAGTCAATACACATGGCTCACTGACACTCCTCAGATTTCAGTTAATGCTGAGCCTGCCTCAGACCTGCACGACAGACATGTCTGGAGATTGAGGTGCGACAAATGAACTTGTGAAGCCACCCTGTGCCTGTTGCCTTCTGGTGCTGAACATGAGACTTAGGAGAGATTTCAATCCCTTCAATAGACCCCGCCACCTACCCCACCCCCACCTCCACCCCCAGTTTATGGATGTAACCTCCAGAGGACACAAATGTTCTCATGGGGCACACCTCACCAATGCTCCCAAAGCACCATGGTGACACCTCTGGAACCTCACTGCAGGTGTTTCTGCCACCTTTGGGTACAACATATCACACCTCACATTTTGAATGATACAAGGTAACCTACAGCCCGACAGGATACGAACGACGTATTTTAAATACATCTTTATATGAAATACAGTTTACCCTGAAGATTTTCCAGACCCCAAGCTCGTAACAACCTAAGCTTGCGTTAAGCCAGTCAAGTGTAGTGCTTATCAGTTAATGCTATTATCAGGCTTGAGTGGGGAGAGGGGCATCAAACAAGCTTCCAGGATGATTATCCAAAATGGAAAGGGCTGGTTTGAAAGGCTTAAGGAGACAGGTGGGAGGGGGAGGGGGATATCCTAACACAGAGCATGTCACTATGCCCTTGTAGAGGGCGGGGTTGGGAGACAATAGGATTTCTAACCCTTCCCAGCATTCTCACAGTGAAGGCCACAGAAGGACAAGGATGGGAATTGAGAAGTGCGGTGCCGGCCCAGTGGCGCAAGCAGTTAAGTATGTGCGCTCCGATGCAGCGGCCCAGGGTTCACACATTCGGATCCCGGGCGTGCACTGATACACCGCTTGTCAGGCCATGTTGTGGCAGCGTCCCATATAAAGTGGAGGAAGATGGGCACGGATGTTAGCCTAGGGCCAGTCTTCCTCAGCAAAAAAAGAGGAAGATTAGCAGATGTTAGCACAGGGCTGGTCTTCCTCACAAAAAAAAAAAAAGAAAGAAAGAAATTGAGAAGTGCTGCGAAAGGGAAAGAAAAGGTTGATTTCAAGGTCAGCTGAACAGGCCCAGGTCTGGTTTCACTTTGCTGGTGGTGTGAGTGAGGCCAAAGTCACGCCACCACTTAATAAGCACACTTTCGCAAACAGGTTGGCTTCTTGCCGTCAGAGGCAATGGAAGATACTTTCCTTCACTTCTGACTTACCACAATCTGTGCAAAAGGTAAAAATGCCCCGGGCCACAGCAGACCGAGCAACATACTTATCATACAGCTCTGAAGCACTGTTCAGTCTATATCACCGACATGTGGCTGGGAAAGTTTCAGTGCAAACATGTGTTTTGCAAAATTACTCTGACGCAGCTTAAAATTCATCAAGTTATTATTATTAAAATGTCTGCTTTCCAGTTTTATTCTTAACAGAGAATACAGCCCCATGAGGTGGAATTTAATACTATAAGCCAAGAGTTTGGTTTATAAAAAGTGAGTTAGTGTTCTAAAAAAAACTCAAAGCATTCTACACACATGCCAAAGTGCAGCACTGGAGTTGTGAGTTATTTTCAGTTTTGTCGACAAAGAACAAATGCCATAGTTGTTATTAAAAACTATAAAGCATTCACTCAGAATAGAAGAAAAAAAGGTAACCTTATCGCTCCAAAAACCAACATATAATAGACAACACGGACAGAAAATTATCAATTATGTTCCTTACATAAAAGTCATCCAATACTTAGTCACAGAGGCACTCCAGTTTAACTGTTTTGGGACCTAATCACAAGCCGGTCACAATATTTAACATTTCATGGATGAAACAAATACTACCACCAGCGAGTATCTTTCAGGTGGTTGGTTGTTTTATAAAGAACCCTGCTGGAAATAAGTGCTTACACAAAATTGACCAGAGAGAAATATTGTTCAATAACAGCATGAACGGCCGTTAAAATAGAAGACAACTAGGAATCAGGGAGAACGATGGCAGCAGGAGTCCTGAGGCCCTGGCCTCCCCTTTGGCCACACAATTGAGGCCTTCCTGATTCTGTCCTCTCGCTGAGCCTTGGCTCTGCCCTCTAGGGACAAAAGGGACGGTCCAGATTAAGGTCAAGTCTTGTCAGGGATGCTCAGTGCCTGACTGGAAATGGTGGTGCTTGTGACACAGGGTGACGCTGCTGGGACGTCTGGGGACTGAACTCCCTCCCCAGACTCCAACACCACTCACCAAAGCTGCCCGGTAAGTCTCCTCTCTGAAGTAGGATTGATAATTTAGTCAAATAATTAAGAAAAATAAATGAAAAATAGATTAGTCATTGTCCTGCTGTCGCTCCTTTTGTTTCTCTTTTATTCCTTGTAACTATCTTGCTTCAGATTCAAACTAGAGCTCTGGGGAGGAAGTCCTGGGGAAAAGGATTTCAGATACCAAAACCCATATGTCCCATACCAGCCCAGCAAACCAAACAAGGTGCCAAACACTTTCTGGGACAAGTTGTGGAAATAAACGGCTGTGCACAGAAACATCCACACCCAAATGAAAGTCAGGAAGCCCAGGGCGACCGCCAGGCTGGTGATGGCGGTGTGGAGGCAGTGGCTTCGGTCCGTCCTCACTTCATGCAGCACGGCCATCTCCTCCACAATCATGAGGGCACAGAAGGTCAGCAGGAAGGAGTGGCCGGAGATGTCAAAGCCGTGCCAAAAGCCCCCTTCCCCGTGGCACTGCTGCTTACTCTGGTGCTCGCTCCTGAGCCCCTCCAGGGCCGGCGACTGGAAGCAGCTGCCCGTGTAGTGCTCAATGTTGGAGAAGAGGGCTGTGCACACATACCAGATGGCCGTGCCCACGAGCAGGGTGCTCAGCCGCCGCAGGACCAGGCCAGCCTTGCCTGTCAGGTGGTAGTTGGTGAGGGCAATGAAAGGCAGGAGGAGGGAGAAGGTCCAGGCCCAGGCCATTTTGACAAAATACCTGGCAGAGGAGGAAAGTGGAAGTGAATAGAGGGGACATGGCGGAGAGGAAACAACGTCATGACCCAGTTCTAGACTCTCAACAGAGGGAAAAGGAGAAAAGTTGATAAAAGCTACAAATAACTTCACTTACTAAGTACTTTAAATGTATTAACTATTTAATCCTTAAAAAACTCTATGAGGTAGGTACTGTTATTATCCCCATTTTGCAGATAAGAAAACTGAGGCACAGAGAAGTATCAAGTCCAAAGTGGAGGACATAAGTGAAGGAGCAGGGATTCACATCCAGGGTCTGTGATCTTAAGCACTACGCTATCTGCTCAGGAAAGTAATAATACCTGAGCATCTACCAAATGCCAGGAGCTTTCACACACATTCACTTTCCCATAGAACACGCACAGTTAGGAAGGTATCATTTGCCCCATATAATAGAGAATCTGAGGCTCAGAAAAGTTCAATAACTTGCCCAGGGGCGCACTCACACAACCACAAGCACAGACTGAACCAAGGCTTGGCCAGCCCCGAAGCCCATGCCTTTTCTACCCTGTGGCTTTTTCCTCCATGGCAGAAATGATCTTGGAACAGAGCCTGACTTCAAGCCAGAAGACCCAGGTTCAAATCCTCATTCTGACTCGTTACCATACTTCCCGAGGCCTCAGTTTCCTCAGCTGTTATATATAGTCGAGGGGACCAAATGATTTTTAAAATCCCTTCCAGAGCCAATGATTCACTAGTTCCCTTCCACTAGTTAACACAGAGGCTTGAAACCAAACGCCAGAATCCCTGGCTACCAGCAAACAACAGGGACTTGTCTGCCAGGCTGCTTGGCTCTCAGCTCACCCAGGCCAGATAAAGCAGCAGCTGCCTTGTCTGCCCCGCCGTGCTCATCAAAGGTGGCTGACCTGGGGACCTGCTGCAGGAAACACGCATGCAACAGACTTGGGGCCACTACGACTCTCATCACCTATTCTCAGCGCAGCCTCCACGGGTGGGTGAGCATGGAAGGCAGGCCAAGGACACAATGATTCTTTCCTGGGTTCCAAAGGATTCTCGCACACATCTCAAGGCTCTGTCACTAACATCTTCCCTGGGACTGATAAGCAAAGATCTTGCCAGAGCCAAGACCCGTCAGGCATTTGACAGAGCTGCCCGGGACAGAAACCACGGTTTTAAGTAGACAACCAAAGCTGGGGGGACTTTTGGGAGATGCTGCTGACACCACAACTCTGCAGAAGAATCCAGGCTCACACCAAGGCAGAAGTTCTATCTTTCAGAGTCTCCCTTACTACTGCAACAGTGTTTTTATGCAATAAACTTAAAATTCAGGAGTTTAAAAAAAGAACAAGGAGCTAAGGAGATGTCTCAAAGAGCCCAGCTACGATTGCTTTCCTGGGCCACTGCCCTGAACTCCGAGTGACTGAGAAGGTCCAAGGAGATCCAGGGGAAAGGGCATGGACTGGGGGGTTCCACTCCTCCAGGACTACGTTGGAGAGGCGGCGCTGTCATAGGCTGGGACAAGGCTCTCAAAGGTGGGGGGGAGACGGCAGGTGTTTCACAGGTGGGGATGGGATTCTGTCACAAGCTGGGGGGATCGGGCTCAGGGTGGAGGCGCGGGGTCTGACACAGGCAGGCAGGAGGGAGGTGGCGTCGCCCCCAGGGCAGCGGCCAACTCCTGACTCCAAAGGGAGGTGGGGCGCAGCGACACAGGCTGGGCCGCTGCCCCCTCCCACCCGCACCCCTACAGACACACACACACCCCCGCTCGTCACCCCCCGCCCAGGCAAGCTCGGGCTGTCTTTTGGGTGTGCGAACACGAACTGCTAGTGACACTAGCTATCCCGGGGACCCTCAGTCGCGACACGCGTGCAGACGCTGCTGTCACGACTGGGAAGACGTCCCCTTCCAACGACTCGTCCACCGGGGCAGCTGGCCCCCGGCTCTGGACGAGGCGACGGCGGGCCGGCTACGGCGGGCACGGGAGAGGAGGCGGGGCGCACTCACACGTTGAGGACATTGCGCTTGTTGCTGAGGTAGCTCTCGGGCAGCGGGGAGAGCTCCTTGAGGAGGGAGCCCGCCAGCATGGAGGCCGCCAGCGCCCAGGGCAGGTAGCGCCGCACGGCCGCCCGCACCAGCGTCCCCCTGAGGAACCACGCGCAGCGCTCCAGATGCTCCATGCCCTTCGCAGGGACCTCCTCGGCCACCGTCCTGCCCTTCCCTCGGTCCGTCGCCTCCGCCTCCGTTCGGGCGCATGCGCGCCGTCCGCAGGCCCCACCCACGAGAAGCGCTCGCGCTGCGGAGCCCGCGTGCTCCCCCTCCTGGCCACTGGCTGTCTCTGCAGCGCCCTCGTCTCCGAGCTCTGAGCTCCCCTCCACTCCCTTCTCGAAGTCCCGCCGCCGCCGGCCGACGCTCTTCGCATACCGCAGGTTCAATCTCAGCCTCTCGTCGGGCAGGAAGCGCTTGTGGGAGTATTTGCTTGAGGCGGGGAAGAATAAATGTAGCACTGTAGGAATTGGAGCAGTGATCACAGCATCATTTAGTCAGAGACACCTCCTCCATCTGAGCCTTAGTCTTCTTATCTGTAAAATGGGAAGACAAGACAAGATCAACCTTTCCCGAGAGTTACTTTATGAACTTAAGGTTCTTTACGGTGGTCCAGCTATAGGGACATGAGAAAATAAATGCATAAAATAATTATTTAAATTTAAAATTATTAGACTTATTTTCACTTTAAAAACAACTATTTGTATTGAGTGAAAATGCTGGACGCTGGGGGTTAATGGAGATCAGATGAGGGTGTTGATGACTCAGTCGCTCAGTTTATCACAGAGGTAAACCCTCTCATCCCCTGTCATGGCTGGGTGTCTAATTCAGTGTTTCCCAACCTTTTTTTTTTTTTGGCTACTGTGTTAGTTTCCTAGGGCTCGCTATAACAAATGACCACAAACTTGGTGGTGTAAAACAACAGAAATGTATTCTCTGACAGTTCTGGAGGCCAGAAGTCTGAAATCAAGCTGTCGACAGGATTGCTTCCTTCCGGAGGCTCCGAGGGAGAATCCCTTCCATGGCTCGCTCCTAGCTTGTGGTGACTGCCAGCAGTCCTTGGCATTCCTTGCCTTGTGGCTGCATAACTCCCATCTCTGCCTCTGTGTTCATGTGGCCTTCTTCCCTCTGGGTATCTTCTCTCCTTTGGTCTCTTATAAAGACACTAGTCACTGGATTTAGGGTCCACTCTAAATCCAGGATAATCTCATTTTGAGATCCTTAATTTTATCTGCAAAGACCCTATTTTCAAATAATGTGACACTCTCAGGTACCAGGGGTTATGACTTCAACATATCTTTTTGGGGGTCACCATTCAACCCATTATAGCCACCTTAACTGCTTTTGCTGTGTCTGTATACCACCAATACTATTATTTACTTAACATGTTTCTTTAAACAATACACATTTAAAACTTGATATGTACTGAATAGCCTCTCAAGCAAAAATATCCACGGAATCATGGATTTTCTGTGCTAGTTAGGTTCCTTCTATTACAAATAAAACATTTCTATTGACATATTCATCATCTCTACCTGCCTAAAACAATCGCACATCCCTAAACCAATGAGAGCTACCACACTTTGGGAAACACTGGCCTGATTTATGCCTATAATAGACTAATGTTTAAAATCTCTTATGTAGAGAATCAATGAACTAATGAGAATAAAAATGTTAATTCCTTAAAACCATCTCAAGATGATCTTCATATCTGTAAGCTGCATTTATCTGATCAGAGTTCTTTTGTAGCAAGATCTCTCCAGGCCTTCAAAAAGCTAGGTTTAAAAAAGAAAATACAGTGATGATTATACCAATCTGGCTTTTCATGATTAGGAATAAAAACTACACAGCCAGAAAGATGTTATTTGTGAAGGCAGCTTGTAAATAGTATCTGAAACCATCTCCATCTCCTGAAGAGTGTTAGGTGCTGAATTATTGTTACTTTCCATAGCAAACTGCATAATGGTTAAAAACAGGGAGGCACATTGGATGTTATTAGCTAAGTGGTTCTCCCAAGGAAAATCCAGATGCTGATCCCCCACCGCAAGAAAAGGGGAAAGGGTGCTGGATGGCAGACATCACCCAGAGGAACTATCAAAAATGTACCTCCTGAGGGGCTGGCCAGGTGGCGCAAGTGGTTAAGTGCGTGTGCTCCACTTTGGTGGCCTGGGGTTCACAGGTTCTGATCCCGGGCGTGCACCGACATACTGCTTGTCAAGCCATGCTGTGGCAGCATCCCATATAAAGTAGAGGAAGATGGGCATGGATGTTAGCTCAGGGCCAATCTTCCTCACCAAAAAAAAAAAAAAAAAGTACCTCCTGAAAGTTTCAGGATCTGTATTTCTGTAGAAAGGAAATGGGTTTGTTCCATTTGAGACTGTACAGCTTCATCCCTGGAGATTTTTGAAGCTTGGGTTAAACCCAGAGCTGAAAAATTGTAAGTCTCTAGAGAAGTTTTCGTCTTTTTTTTTTTTTTTAACCCATATTAGGAAATACATATTTATGTTGTGAGCCCAACAGTGTGTAGGAGTCGACTCATACAAGCCTGTGAGAGCAGATTGTTAAATTTTCGGACTTTCTCAAGCTGATTGTTAAATATAGCCATTATTAAAAATTACACTACGAGCCAGCCCTGATGGCCTAATGGTTAAAGTTCAGCGTGCTCCACTTCAGTGGCCTGGGTTCATTTCCTGGTTGCAGAACTACACCACCCATCTGTCGGTTGCCATGCTGTGGCAGCGGCTCGCATAGAAGAACTAGAAGAACTTACAACTAGGATATACAACTGTGCACTGGGGCTTTGGGGAGGAAAAAAAAAAGAGGAAGATCAGCAACAGATCTTAGCTCAGGGCGAATCTTTCCCTGCCAAAAAAAATTACACTATATAAACTAACAACTAAAGTCCAAATAATTACCCCCAAATCATCATTTCCTAATTATTATGCTATATTTTATTGTTATCTATGCTCTTGGGGTTACTTACATCTATCATATCTGTAGAGTATGCTACTGTGCAACTCTTCCCAACTCATGTTCAGTGACATCGCATTGGTAACTGTAAATCAGCCATGGTGGCAGTATTTACACTAAGAAAATAGTCAAGTGCTACCAATCAGGGCTTTATTTGGTTTGTTGATTGTCCAGATTGGGATGCAACTCCATTTGTCAAAACATGGTTGAATTCAAACTATAGGTAGACTTTGAATAGAAGCGTCCAGCAAAAATCAATGAAGGCATTCTGTGAGAATCATTTAGTTACATGGAATTTACAATAAAGAGTAATTGCATATATTATTATTTGTAAATTATGTGCTACATATTTTTTATATTAAGAAAAATTTATAACAAACTTAGGTACATATATACTTATACATTTTCCCATAGAGAGCTAGTTGTTAAACGTTTATCAACAAATCACTGTTGTGATCCAGTACATACGTAAAAATACATATGTGGCATATGAGTGAATTTATTGTTGTTAGTGCCTTGGAGTTGATTCTGACTCCTAGTGACCCTGTTGTACAGCAGAGCAGAACCCTGCCCAGTCTTTCTACGCCATCCTCTCACCTTCCAGCACTGTATCAGACAATGCTCTGCTGCTATTCACAGGGTTTTCATGGCCAGTTTTTTCAGAAGTTGGTGGCCAGGTCCTTCTTCCTAGTCTGTCCTAGTCTGGAAGCTCCGCTGAAACCTGTCCACCACAGGTGCCCCTGCTGGTATCTGAAATACACTGGCATGGCTTTCAGCATCACAGCAACATGCAGCCACCACAGTGTGACAGCCGACAGACAAGGGGTGTAGTTCCCCGACCCGGAAACAAACCCAGGCTGTGGCAGTGAGAGTGCAAAATCTTACCCACTAGACCACGAGGGGTAAATGAAAATGTACAATGCTAATAGATATACAGATAAAGCTAATATAGCTTTATGACAGTTCATGACAGAATTTGCCTCTACTGTGTGTGAGGCACTCTGATAATTTCTGTTCTATTATAAATTCAACTAAAAATGCTGGTGACGACTCACTGAATTCATTTTACAACTCACTAATGGGTGGGGATCTGTAGTTTGAAGATTTTAAGGTATTGGAGGACGAGGCCCTGCCCCTCCCCACCAGAGGGTGATAGAAGACCACAGTATCAGGGTTCCGCCTGCCTGAGACTTCACTGGCACCACCTAATTGTTGGCTTTCATTCCTTCATTTATCTGTTTAACACGTGTCAGAAGTATATGGTCTCTGGCTTCAAGGAACTTAAAATCTAGTGAAGGTGATAATCATTGATTTATTCAGCCAACCAACATTTATTAACTCTTTACTATGCACCAAGCTTTGGGCTAGATGTTAGGCCCTCCATTGTTTTGGATAAGTGAGTTTCCTTAATACCTACAGATTTATCCCCCTTTAAAAACACAATTTCCGAGTTTGAGGCAGAATGTTCAATGTGAGGTTGGACCATCTTGTCAAACCAGAAAGCAAGGAAGCCATAAGCTATCAAAGACTGCTAAGGTCATTTCAGGAGGAGACAGGAGCCAGTAGAAAGGCTCCCATAGGCCAAAGATAGGATAATTTGAGCATAAACAAGAATAATAATTGCAATGGACAGAAACACACACATATGTTTAAATCCGTGGGTCCGTAATGGTACTTAGAAAGTAATGGCCACCTTTGGAGGAATCAACTCATTATTTTGAAAACTAGTAAATAAAGGGAAAGAATCAAGCATTTTTCCTGCCTCTCCTATGTGAGCTGAACCACTAATAACCAAAGAGTAGATGAGTTTCTTGATAAAGAAATATCTCAACAATAAATGAAGAAGGGCTGACAGAATTAGAATATCACCATATGTAAAATGGAAGTAAAAATGTTGGTTTGAAATATTGCTTAGTCATATTCATTAAAGAAAAGAATCAGTTTGCAGATATTCATAAAAAAGAAAAGTTTAATAAAGCAAATACTCAGTAGCACATCTAAATAAATCTCCAAAAATCCATCTGATAAGGTTTAAATTTTTAAAATCAGGTTATCATAATTTTGACCTTTGCTCAGAATTTTATATTTTAGATTTCTTAGAGTCAGATTTTACAGAAGCACATCATGTTTACTACAGAAATGGAGAACTATAACCACAAATGTGTCTGTTACAAAAACTAACCATTTCTTATTGAATGCTAAATGTATTTTC